TAATACTAATGTTATCTTTTGGAATTATTTTTATTATGATTTTTTTATGCAAAATAACTAAATAATTTCACCTCAATATCATCTACCGTTCAACACTACATAGACTAAATTGAATTTGAAATCGGTTGACAATTTTTTTTTATTTTTACAGAATATTGCAGTATAATTTGTATCTCTCAGATTATTGTCGATCGCCATGGAACCTTGAAGACACCTCAGCGGGAGTTCTGCGATGCCATCTTAGACCTGTGCGCCGCCGCGCCACGCCACCGCCACCGACGATTTTCATACGCCGCCGCCGCTGATGAAATTTAGCCGGCGCACCGCTGCAGTAAGATCGTTAAATTCGCCGAATAAATTTATGTCACGCTGATGAAAAATCCGCAACACCTTTTCGATGATATGCATCTTGAACGCATTGAAATTATAAAAATTAGAACTTGTGTGCATGCTCGTTCATGGCTACTCAAAATTGAGTGAAAAACCTCTCAATTTCAATAAAATTGGATCTACTTTAAATTTTGTAACATAGCCAGAACTAAATTTTGAGTAAAATGGCGAGGTATATGTAGATGAGTATTTTCTACTCATTACCATAGAAACCAAAATACAGGGAAAAGAGTCAAAAATACACAAATGAGCAAATATTTCTTATCTTTTTTCTTTCTTTAGGATTAATAAACCCAAAACTGAAGAGCATTTTAATCAAGCATTTTATTTTAAATAAAACAGAATGTAAAAGAATTACCATTCAATTTGCGGTACATTTCCGCATCCACGGTGGCTGCGATTTGCACCATTTTCGAATGATATCTTTCGAAATTTTCAAATTTTCTTCTACGACAGAAAGGCAAACTTTGTATTTTTACATTCTCACAACCAGGGCTGAAAATTCTCATTACAGCTAAAATGCTAAAATTAGAAATTATGAAACAATGAGATATTGTAATAATAATTTTTATATGTAAGATACAAGAAGAGGAGGTAAAATTTGTGTATGACACAAACAAAAACTGTCAGTTTCAGTTCCAGAGTGTCGCAATTAGCTATTAGTTATAACAAAGCGTATTCACTCATTGACATATCTCATTAAAACTCCTACACATACTTCACCTCGTATTCTTGCATCTTACATAACACATTATTATTATAATATCTCATAGTTTCATAATTTCGAAAAGTAGCATTTGTGATTGTTATGTGATTTTTCAGCCCTCGTTGTGAGAATGTAAAAAAACAAAGTTTGCCTTTCCGTCAAAGATATCATTCGAAAATGGTGCTAATTGCAGCCACCGTGGATGCGGAAATGTACCGCAAATTGAATGGTAATTGTTTTACATTCTGTTTTATTTAAGGTGAGGCAGAAGGAAACTAGGAAACTTTCTCTCGATCCGATGAGAATACCGGATGAATGAAACAGTCGACTAAAGTTTCCATCTGCCTTTCCTATAGATCCTGCGCATCGGTCTCGTCTCAGTTAAGCATTTGATTTTTGAGGTTTTGTTTCCCATTCACGACGACTTACGCGATGTCGAATTTGAAGTAAAATAAGGAAAGAACCTTTCATGTGATTCGTGGCAATACTTTGGAAAAATGATGTATACTAAGAGTGATACCGCCAGGCCAGATTTTTTTAAAAAGTTGTGGTTCTGAAACTATAATTGTAAACTATTGTTGTTATATCTCGAGCAACTAAGCCTACTAATAAGTTCAATTTGACCGATTGGTGACCATATAGGCACAAACAAACAGACGTATCTCTTTGAAAAAGTTTTTCTTGAAAACATAGTATCTCAAAACATAGGACCTCAGTAGCGACATCCCTCGGGCTTCTCGCGGAAAACAAGCTTGCTGGCTAGCTCGCAAACAATACTGCACAAAAGTTCTATAGAATGTATAGAAACGTCAAAGTGATCCGATTCCAGTGCTGCGGCGAGTAGTTCGCGGAACTGATAATATTCAAACTAACCGTTAAATGCGTGAACGAAGATGTACAATGAAGAGTTACGTCTGTTTGTCTGTGATATAGGGTTTGAAACTTTATATCCAACCAGTGCATTGAAGATCAGATGTTTGTTTAATTATACACTATAGATATTCGGCAGCTGAGAAAATAATGTTTGATTTTCACCTAGCGAACGGAATTTACTAATTGCATTTAAAAAGCATCAGTGTTCATCCAGTTAATCATGACATTTTGCAATTGCATTATTTTGACACAAAATTTCCTTTAACTGAAACATTGTCTCAGTGAGCGGACAAGTTAAAAACGTGCCAGTTAAAAGGCGATCACGTATGCGAACGTCTAGTGTGAAAAGCTTCATTTTAGGTCCAATGTAATTTTACTCTAGTCTGTTTCTGAGACATGGTGGTGGTGAAAATATTATAGTAAAATTCCGTTTTGGTTTACAGGTTATAGTAACCCTGTTGTCTGCTGAAAATAATGCTTTTGTGGCAATCACCGACGGACAATCTAGTGGCAATCACCGACGGACATCGATTGCCATCCATTGACGGCAATCGAATGTGCAGGAAGGCAGCTTCCACACCTGCGTAGGATATCGCACTCATTCATGAACACACATGGGCCGGGACCAACGGCTTTACTTCCTTTCCGAAGTAAGACGTGACCAGAGATTTTTATGCCTCAGAAAAATCCTACCGACCTCGGCTGGGATTGAACCCAGCCCATTGGGGTGATAAATCAGTCACGCTTACCACTACTCTACCGGTGCCGGCAACCGAACAACGTTGTAGATGGAGATATTCTCTGCTTTAGGAAAATTATAAAGCTTGGTAGCTTTGGTTCGCAAGGTATTGTGTGTACCTGTCAAGTGAACGAGTTTTGAACATAGCTGGGCCAACTGTATCTGCACGTCGATCAAGCATCCTCCCTAAAAATGTGGATAAAACAATCTTTAGTCATGAAAATTAAAGCATTTGCAAAAATAGATTTTTGAAATAAGCACTGGTTTACTGACGAGGATCGGATTTACATAACAGTGAATAAGAGACTATTATTTAAATCAAGCTGAATTTTGACCTTTTTTTAAATCTCTTACAGGTCCAAGTTGTGCAGGATTCTATTTACGTCTTTCGTCTTGAAGTACATAAACAAAAAGTTAATAATTAATAAACAAATAAACAAAATTTAATAAACAAAAGACTACAATACGCGTACATTCAAATATGTATCAAAGTGACAAAAGCACATCTTTTATCGCTAACAACATATTAATAACGTGTAATGCTCAATAAATGAAAAAAAAAATCGTAGGGCCCATTAAATGGTTACGTAATGCAACAAATTGCTTTTCAATACGGTCCACCTCTACATAACGTACTTTTCTTATACTTAATAAAAGGGTTGTAACACTTTGCCATACGACTCCATCCCCTGCAATTTTAATAAGCACTTGACATACATTTCTAAACAAATTCTGCATGCATGGTCAATGAGAACAACTTAAAATTTAGTAAGAGATACTCATATTTGAGTACAGGTTACTCCAATTCGCGAAAACGTAGGTCACCCATAGAATGAGTCAATTTTCTGACGCTTTTACGAGGAAAACTTCTCGAATATGAGGAAAACTAAATGTGGTTTTAGTCTGTCCACTAGTGCACAATTTTCTTAAATTCTCCCCATATTCAAGAAATTTTCCCCGGGAAAGTGTCGCAAAATTTATCCATACTATGAGTGTGAACGTTTGAGCGATTTTGAGTAATCTGAACTGAAATGTTGGTAGTATTTTTGGTACATGTGTGATTGGTTTGAAAAGTATTTTTTTTCGAAATCATTAAAAATAAACTCACGCTGACCCACGCCGCCACCGAAAGCAAACGGCGTGACGCCGCCACGCTGCCGCCGCCGGCAGAAAATAACTTATCACGCCGCCGCCGAAAATATTTTGATCGGCGCACAGGTCTACTATCGTACATGTCATCTATCATCTTGAATCTGTTAACTTTATTGCTTCCATTTCCAATTCCTTCTTATTAATCAGCTACGGATGTGACAACGATGGTGAGTTCACCATGTTATATCTTCATTTTATTCTAGCAGACGCTTTGGACAGCAATTTCACCATTTATTGAAAAAATCTACATTTGCCAGCAACACTGACTGGGTGTATCATATGGCTTGCCTTCCTACTAACATAATTCCTAAATTCCCGAGACAATTATGAAGGGTCGTAGAGTTCTCTGCATCTCTCTTAAGTAAATGTTGGACTAACATACCTTTCCTATCCCTACCAGCTGCAAGGACGTGGCCAGGACAATCCTTAACTGTTGGAGTGGGATTTGTCTTTATCTGGGAGATAGTAATTATTGCCTACTTACTATCTGTCCAGTAATAGATATCCGTCTTGCTCTTAATAGTTTTGCATTCGTACCACCTACGATATTGTGCAACTTGTTCGATGCTAATGCTAATGTTCCATTTTCGGTTTTCACAAAGTGTACCCCCATATAGAAATCACAGACGTAGTCCTACGTCAAAACATATTTTGATCGCCTCACACTCGGGACGTTGTCTCGCTCTCGAACCGTTTCTCCTGTTTTCGCCAGCGAGAGAAACAACAGTTATTCTGAACGCAGTTCGACATCATGCTTTTACCACCCAAAAAAACCACCAAACCAGTCCGGTGGTCTCTCTTTCTGGAGCACATGTTTACTTCGAGACATCATTCTCTCCTGCATACCACGACGAGTCCGCGGGAGCATGTGGAGAATTACCGAGCAACACGGAACTCAAAGCTTACGGTACCACGGGTTCTCAGAGAGCAACGGCTACCCTCGTGCTGCTAGGGCGTGCATTCACATAAAAAATTGCTTTGGCTATGCTATGCCGCCCCGCGCTGCCTGTACGGTTGGTCTGTACCTACAGATAGATCTATGCACATATCTATACGGGGACGGACGGACGCGGGCGAACGAACGAGCATTAGCCCAAACGAAACCCAGCGACGTGTTTCAAACGTAAATCTTACGCGAAGCCAGAAACACTACTTTTGTGACGACGACTAGCCTGCCAGGTCTGGCACAGAACTTGGGAACGATTAGGTCGGGATGGTCATATAGAAAGACACTCGCGCTGATCTTGAGTGAAGATCACTCAGCTGTTCGGGCTCCAGGAGATCGAACTCAACGCAACGGTCGACGGTGTGTGGATTTTCTCCAGGTGGGCTTTCTTCTACTGTGGTAAGATCTGCTGGTGGATCTTTGGTTTTTGGAGAAACCGGTGGTGGAGTGAGGTGAACTGAGTGTGCTGGAGTACTCGCATTCCCCGCGCGGTAAGTTGCAGCAACCAGCCGCAGAGCAGATCGCGTTAGTCACCTGTGAACGTTTGAGTCTGACGCACCGTTCGTCCGACAACCGGGACTGAGTGAAGATTGGTGAAGATCTAGATCCTCGAGTGCGGAGAAAAAGAGAGTGCGCGCGCGGCCTAGAGGTTTTGGACAATTCGAAAACGGGATCCGAGCCCAATTAGTGTCGTTTTGCTGTTTTGCTTCGCTTTCGCGGTTTCAAGTGTGATCGAGGAAACCGTGTTTTAGGATTGAACCCGTCGTCCGTGGTTCGAAGGATGGTTAAACAGTAAGAGATTTACCATTTTTTAATTGTGCGATACCCGCGGGTGATGATTGTCAGTGAGAGTGGCGGTTATTCTTAACACTTGATGCGCCAAAGTGGTTTGCCACAGGAAGAGAAGTGTGCTTATGAGCCGAAGAAGTTCCGTTAGATTTTTGCGCCGTTGAAGAACGTGCGTTCGAGAGCGCGTGATCGTCGTGGGACGTGAATGTGAATAAGTGCGTCGAGAGAAATGTTATAATTTTTGTTCACGTTTTGATGATTCAATTTCTGCGTTGCTAACCTTGACGGAAGGGTGGAAAAATTCGTAACCAAATTGAACACAGCCAAGCCGTTGGTTCGCTGATTGCACCGCGAAATTGACCATACACGATTAAAAGGCAACAGAAGTAGGGAATCAAATATCTGTGCTAAGACAAATTGCTCCGACCAGATCAGTGATCGAGATAATACGATAATTTCGGGAAATTGTTTTGATGAAGCGTTTACATCTGTGCAAGAAGCGATTGTGAATTTGCTGGGAGCTGACCCACTTTGTGGCCCATTTTCCACCGTGTACTTGCAAGCATAATAGAGATCCACTCCGAGTGAAACAGAGTGCGACTAAAACATACGGCTGACGGCGACGGTTCGGACGAAGACCCCTTCGAAGGAAGAAAGAGAAAAGATGATGATAAAAATACCTAGTGGAAAAAATTAAATCGCATCTAAAACAAGTGATTAAGAGGCTAACAGTAAAATTGGAAAAACGACGTGTGGAGATCCCCTTCGAAACACACACACACACACACACATACAGGCGGGAAAAGTGAGGTCGAAAAAATACGGTCGTGATTGAAGTGTCTCAGAAGCTGGTGAATGTGCCAAAAAGTGATCTGTTTAGCAAAAAAGAAAAATCGGATGAACATCTGCAAATCGACCCGCGATCGGAGCAGGAGCAGTAGCAGAAGCAACAACATTGGCAGCAATTGAGGTGTATGTGTTAACCAAATCATTTTTCATTCGATCCAATTTGTTATCACTGAGTACATAGTATTTCCCCCCCATCTCTTCCGGATTTATTGGGGAATTGGAACCGCGCACACGGCATGCTGGCAGTAGCGGCAATTTACAATTACGGCTTTACGGTCATCAGTGCGCGATGATCTTGTGAAAGCCGGATTTTTCGGTTGACCCAGATCGAAGGGGTTGTTTTCATATATATATATTTTTCCATTTGTGCCGGAGGGGGAGGACCCGGTATTGTTTATGTTTTCCAATGTGAACGCAAAGTTGACTTAGTAGCTGAGTGCACCTCCGGAGAGATTCGGGAGTACGACAGAGAGGAATGAGTCCTTGGTTTTCGGGAGGATTTCTCAGTTGGATTAAATTTTTCGGCGCTGTGTTGGTGAGCATGGCGGGAGAGATGTTTTGAGTGAAATGCCGAAGCAGGGTCCTAACGTCGGGATTCGTGTTGTTTGTAAGGATGGTTTAGTTCCTCCGGAGATACGGAAATCGACGGATTGCTGCGTTGAGGTTTTGACGAATTTTTTGGCCGAGCGATTTACGAAGGCGTCCTGCGTAAGATTGGCACAACATGAATTGTTGGTAGAAGATAATTTTGCACTGAATGTGCATTTACTTTTTGAGCAATTTTAGATGGCTTTGTTTAAAATTATGACTGAAATGCTTTGGAAGAGTACTTCAATCGCAAAATTATAACAAATTAAATTTAAAAAAATTTAAATTCTAAATAAAAAATAATTTGAGTCCCTTCTGCTCAAGCCAACTGTCACCGATTTTAACCAAACTTTGTCAAATGCTCGTTTTGATATTTTAAGAAAACGTTTTTTTTTCGGTTATTACACAAACAAACAAGATTTTTGTGTTCTTAACCCATCATTTTGTAGGTGTTTTAATGTAAAATCTGATGGATTTCTCAAAGTTTGGAACTTGCGAAAATTTAACTATAGTAGACAGACAGATATTTAGATGGATAATAACACTTGCAATGATAAGTGATAGTGGAGCTAGGTTAATCTCTGCTTGAACAAAACCACATAACATATGTGGAACTCGATCTTCAAAAATCGACCCCTTTTCAGTGATTTCAAGTGGTATAGAAGGACATCGATCTGTCAAATTGATTATACCAGCTGTAAAATGAGAAAGGGGATCAAGGGAATAGTCAATTCCAGGGCTGTTACACGATTTTCTAAATTTGATCCGCGAAATCCGTGATTTTCACATTTTAATTGAGAGCTTTCTATGCCTGTATCATACTTTGTCCAAGGAAGTAGAGACATTTTCCAACTCGAACAATTAATAGTCTGGACGGGAAACGAACTCATTCGCCTCCAAGAGCTGCGCCTTTACCGATTGAGCTAAGGGAGTATCGTTTATAACATTTGAAAAATAATAATAAAATTAACAATGTATCATCTTCAGTGATTTATGTCTAGTATGAATTCTGAGTAATTAGTTAACATAATACATACAATAGACATTATGAGATTATTTTGAATAATACCGGCCTAGATTTGATGAAGCATTATTTGAAAAAAAAAAAGAAAAATGCATTTTCAATTGAAATGCAAATTTTCTTTGAATTAACCTTTGCGTCTCTGACGTATTTTGCTGTCCTAAATGTTAATTTGGCTCTAGTTTTCTCACGTTTTTACCGATTCAAACCAAACACCCTGTACATAATTGAGAAATTACCAGAGTTTTATAAGTCACACTTGTTGGTCACGTCGCGGTTCTGTATTTAAACGGATATTTCTTGGGGTCTGTCCAATGGTGAGACATTTTCATGGTATTTTTTTTATTTCTAATATGAACCTAGCACTTTTCGTTGTCAAATCATAACCGAATCATATATATGTGACTTTGTAGATCATGCACGACTTATTACTATGTATACCGGAAATTCTAGGTCTTCCAAATCGTCCAGGACATCAGTTGATTTGTTCTACTAGATCAACAAGGACTGCAATAATGTCTGTAGTATCGAAAAATGTCCAATCAGGTTCAAAGTGCCTATGTGCATGCTTGGCATGGACAGTTGTACACACCAACTGCTCATTTATAAATAACTTTTTATTCAGTTGTTGAAATATAGTTTTCTTTAAAGTAATTGATAGATAAGGCTCAAAGTCTACTGTAGACATGCGAAGAGTAGGTAAATCTTATCATTTGAATCAACACCAATGAATTTTTACACTTCAAGTCCGAGATGTGCAGCGAGCATTTCTCACTTCATTTTTACAACGCAAAATCAAATACAGTTTATTACTAGAATTAAAATCTCATTTTTTTTACGTATCTATAAGAAGCTCAAACTCTATTCTGTCGACTGCTTCAAAAAAAACTATGTTTCGTCAACTGTGGGCAAAGTTATTAGCAAATGAGCAGTTCGCGAGCAAAACTGTGTATGCCAAGCATGCCTATGTGGATCATGCATGATCTATTAACGAGTAATCCAGATGTTCAAGGTGCTTCAAATCGTCCTAGAGCCCTGGAGGATAATTTGATCTACTAGATCAACCGAGATTGAGACAATGTCTTTAGTATCGAAATATTTCCAGACAGATGCACAGTGTCTTTGTGGATCATGCATTAACTATTACCATGTATACCAGAATTTTTAAGTTCTCCAAATCGTCCTGCAGTTCAGATGATTTGTTTTACTAGATCAACAAAGACTGGGATAATTTTAGTAGTATCGAAATATCTATTTGGAAATCCTAGAACATTTGGCATACACGGAAATAGGTTGGCATGATTTACATAAACACTGCAAATTTTTTTGGGCATATTTCGATACTACAGATATTGGATTAGTCTTGGGTGATCTATTAAAAAAAAATCTGAACTTCAGAATGATTTCAGAACCTATAACATCTTGTATACGTATCAATAGGTCGGTTACGATTCACATAGACACTTTGAATCTGTTTGGACATATTTCGATACTACAGAAATTATTGCATTCTTGGTTGATATTGTAGAACAAATCAACTGAACTCCACGACGATTTGGAGAACCTATAATATCCGCTATACATGGCAATTACTCGCATATATACGATTCGTTTATGATTTGACAACGAAAAATGCTATGTTCATATTGGATTAAAAAAAATATATGAAAATGTCTCACATTGGACAAACTCCAGGGAATTTCCGTGTAAATCCGGTGTGATTTATGGAATTGAGATCATTTCTGGATTATTTGCAGGGTGTATGATTTGAACTGGTAAAAAACTGGGAGCCAAATGAACAACAAAATTGATGACAGCAAAATAATCCGGGTCGGAAAGGTTAGAATGAATTCTACAATTGTTGTGACAGCACATCAGTCCCTTTGCGATTTTCGCGACATCATTTAATGTTTCCGCGATTTTCAAATCCGCGACAAATCCGCGAAATCCACGCTGTTGTAACAGCCCTGCAATTCTTTTAAAATAAAGCTAACCTTGGTCACTATTCCTTACTATTTCTTTAATCATTTGTGTCCTTTATTTATAAATATATAACAGGCTTTAACAAATTCATCACCTTGCTTCACACATCAAAACAGTGGTCAACTTAGAAGATTAGTTTTATGTTACATTTGGTTCTTTGGGCATTTTCTAATTTTTTGGAATCAATTGCATGGAACTTTGATTTCATTAGGTTTCGTAGGAGGAAAAATACGACCGCGTAAATTTGGAGTTAAGTGCTTACATTTTGAAGTCCAGCAAGAAGCACCGACATTTTACAACAAGTTGTCAAGGTTTATACAGAAGTACCACTTGAAAAATATGCAGTGTTTTGAGCTGACCTTGCATCGTTCCATTAGCAAGAATTTTATAAGCAGGGCGATAAATGAAATCGAGCGCTTATCGATACCTAGAATACCCAAGATTTCAACGCTCCCTATGTATCTCAATTGCCGTCAATTGAAAGTTTCTTCTCAAATCCCAACACAAAGAACTACTCCAATTACCTTGTAACAAAAACCGTGGTAAGGTTGATCCTGGTTTATAGAATCGGCAGAGGGCAACCAATTTTTTCGACAACTATGGCTAAAGCCCTAAGGTGGGACTTACAGCTAGGTGTATTAAAGGTAAGCACTATTTACAAACGAAAATAATCGTTCAATTCTATTGGAAGTTGTTTTATTTAATTTTTTTTTGAAAAAAAAAATTGCAACCGGATATTTCGCGATGTAATGATAAGTTGACTCACTAAAAGCACAGCTAAAAATATTTCATCATACCACAGACCAAATGGTAGTTTTACACCTATTCGGTCACTCTGTAACTCCTTACTTCTATGATGAAACCCCATAAGCAAACATCAGTCTGTGCGTGAAACATGGTGAACATTTCCTTACCCTTTCACTCCTATGAAAATCCCATAAGATTCGGTCAAACTTTGCGTGAAAAGACGGCAGCTGGCTGGTACCATGGTGACCAAGTCCGCTAGATTCCATGCACAGATTGTCAGATGCTTATGGAATTTTACCTGGAGTAAAGAGTTGCAGAGCTACCTTTATTGACAATAATATATTATTTGCTTTTCTTTCGTAAGGGCCAATGCCGCAAACGTGAATAATTACTTTTTGCATAAATTTCTCGAAAATGAAAACTCACTCATGTAAACCACCATGATGATTGTGTAGAGAAAGAGTCCTCCTATCCGATAAAATTGGTGGCTTCTTCTTCTTCTTCTTCTTCTTCTTCTTCAAATTTCAAGCTTATTGCATATCGTATATTAGCTTATTGCGTGCTCTCAACTTAGTGTTCTAGATGCGCTTCCACAGTTATTTATTGAGAGCTTTCGATGCCTGTACCATTTTTGTATTGATATGATTAGGTGGCAAGTCTATGCCCAGGGAAGTCGAGTAATTTTCCAACCCGAAAAATTCCTAGACCGAACCGGGAATCGAACCCAGCCACATCCAGCATGGTCTTGCTTTGTAGCTGCGCCTTTACCGACTGATCTAAGG